ATAACAATATAAATTTTTTTATTATTATTTTATATATTATTGATTAATAATTCCTTATACTTCATTTTTGAAAAAAAATTGTTAAAAAATTAATTCTTTATAAAATATAAGGAAATATAATACGGAATTTTCAAAAACGTATACAAAACATATTAAAAATAATAAAAAAACGTATACATATTTTTCATAGGGTTACAAAAACAAATAGCTTTAGCAATATATGAAAAATTATTAAAATATTGGAAAAAACACTTGGATCAATCATCTATTATATCATCTTTATTGGATTCACGGTATAAATGTTTAGCATTTAAAGATAATAAAGTTCAAGATGCTATTAAAATATTATAAGAAATGTTTTTATCATATATACCATCAAATGCACAACAAATATCTAAAACCAAAACAACCTTAAGAGATTACTTTTTAAATATACTGAATAATAACAATAACATATATAATTCTAATGATTCGAATGAAGAATTAAACTAATATTTTAATTCTCCATGTGATAGTCATACAGATCCTTTAACATGGTGGAAACTTCATAGCAAAGACTATCCGATACTCTCTTATATGGCTAAGGATTATTTATCTATTCAAGCAACATCAGTTGCATCAAAATGAGCCTTTTCTATTTCAGGTTTAGCAATAACCAAAACTAAAAATAGGTTAGATCTGGAAACAGCAAGAGCGATTATTTGTATGACATTCTATCAATTACCTAATTTGTATAAGCAGTATATGTTAAAAAGTTTAACGATTAACTATGAGGCAAATTTTTCAATTACTGTTACACAAACAAATTTAATTATAAAATTGATCTGCATGCGACATGTCCGACGCTTGTTAAGCTACACAAGCCACATGACTAAAGTTACACTCAATTCAAATTACCTATTAGTTGGTTGAAATTATATCGCTTTAAATATTAAATAAAAATAGGTTTATAGTTGATATAATTCAAAAAAAAAAAGATGATAAAGTAAACCTAATAGTTTATAAAAGATAATATTAAAAGTAAAGTATTCTATTGATTATCATATTTATATAATATATATTTCTATTAGTAATTATTTTATTTCTCAAAAGAGAATAAATAAGTTGCTGATTTTTTTTCATTAACAGTTTTTTTTCTTGGTATTCAATTAAAGGTTTTGTTTGTGAGCTACAGAGATTTAATTAAATTAATTCTTTTTTTTTTTCACATTAAAGAAGATACATTCCAATCAATATGTTAATATATTAGTATTATATTTAGTAATATATGTTATTCTGTTTCTATTTTATTAACTTATTATTATTTATTTTATTATTTTTTTCAGTAAATTATCAGTATTTCTTGATGTGAAACTCAAATTTGGTATACTTCTTGATAGATCAATAACGTAATAATAATATGAAATACATATGATTTTAAAAAAATAAAAACCTTCTCGCGTATTTATATTATTTACGCATAAGGGACACGTTAATTATTTAAAACTTATTATCGAAATGTTCTTTAAAACGTTTGTATTATGTTACTCTAATTAAAGTAACACAAAAATGACTATCAAGTTAGATACCAAATTTGAGTTTCACAGAAGAAATATACCGAATTTGGGTTTCACAGAAATGTCAATCGAGGAGCATACCACAAGATCAATACTTTTGCATTACTGAGTCCTATCAGGAATTGACCAAATATTACGCCCCTCTAACAAAATTCATCTTATGGTATTTTTAAATTATAGAATCAAAAAAAGAACAAATGTTCTTTTTTTTACTGTAACACAAACCAGGTCTTTATGATCTTTTATGATCAGCTTGCAGGTGCATAATCCTGTATTGTTTGATATCGGCTGACTGATTTTCAATATATTTAAATGAGTATTAGATTGGACAAAAGGAACCAACTTCGAAAGTAAAATCTAAATATATTTTGTCTGGGCGTGAATTCAAAATGTGAATTGTCATGTGATTTGAATATAAACAAACAATTCAAACAATTGATTGAAATTCTTACATTTGATTATGATAACAAATATTTTTAAATTTCGAATTAGATCGGAAGTTTCTACATGGAATTTGGGGAAAGTCAAGGTCACACGAAATATAGAAATATAAACTGATCCTTGTGATAAACGGAAATTACGGATCATAAGACATTCACAAACCCACCTATTTTAGGATTCCAATCAGTAATCAGTCAAATGTTCAAATCACATGCAAAAAAGGTTGCATGAATCAAAAAGATCTCACAGATCAACCTCTACTAAGATATGATATATATATGTGTGTTTAGTTTTAGTGCATTGGAATTTAATTTATTGGTTTCGATTTCGATAACTTACATAATTATTCTTTAATAGGTTTATTACCAAAAAAAAAAAAAAAAATAATAATAAATTTTTTTTTTCTCCTCTTTTTTAACATCTTAAGCATTAAATTTAAAAAAAAATGTCTTTTGCAAAAGATTCCATTAAAATCGCAACCGAGATCGAAGAAACTGTAGAAGCTTCAGAAGCTTCAGAAATACAACCGACAAAGCAAATAACACCAACCTCAAACGTTAATGATGACGATAATAACAACAATATCGACAACAAAAATAATCATAATGAAACCACACCACAAACAAATATTAAATTTAAGAAGTTCGTAGTCGGTAATGAAGAAAGTCCCGATGATTACAATTATTCGACTTCTCATGAAATTAACGCTAAAGGGGTGGTGGAAAACCATAGGGATACAAAATCAAGGTTTTACAAACCTTATCCAGCAGAGGAAATTGCTAAAATTGCAGATGAAAAAAGAAAAGCTCAACAAAAACAAAACATTGAAAATGATGATAAAGAACCTATAAAAGATACGGTTAATAATAATCATACGAGCGCAATTCAAATTCATTCGGAATCACAGACTCCACAACAACAATCAATTCAGCAACCAACACCTAAAGAAGAAAAGGTTATTAGGACGAATTCATCCGAAACATCAAATCCCACATTGGAATCACATCAAGCAGCGGTTCCTGTTACCACAACAGAAACCGATACAACAAAACAGCAACCTACAACATCAGCACCTTCGGCAAAAGAATCCATTCTAAGTACTCCGGCAGAATCACCAGATTCAACACCAATCCCATCAATTTCAGAAAATATTCATGATGCTTCTTATGTTGTTAATTCTTCCCTTCTCAAAGATGTTAATAATTCAGATCAAGGTCAAATCCAATCTAATCATAACGATAATTATAATATGTTGCCTTTAACACTAGATGATTCTTACACATCTGAACCATTGAATTATCCACATCAACCTCGATTTCCACCTTCAGGAGGAATGTCACGTACTCAACAGAAACTATTCCTTCAAAGACAGCACTTTCTCGCAGATGATGAAAATTATTTAATTCATCCGCGCAATCAATTAAGATTAACCAAAGTTATTGAAAGGATCAACAGAGAACATGCTGCTATATTATTATGTAGAGATCCAATTATTGAGAGCTTACAAAGAGTTTGGCCAAAATATGTTCAAGAACATCCCGAGGTGCTGGATGATGATTTTGGTGGAGGATATGAGGATGCAAAGGATTGGGGGGGTATATCTGACCACGGAAAGAATGCGGATCAAATCGTTTCAAATTCAATTATAAGTACTGAATTAGGTGTTGATTCTATGAACTTACGTGGGATAAGATAAAAATAATAAAAAAAGTTTATCATAGATTTTTAATTTTATTCCAAAAAATTTTAGAAACATTTTATTTTTTCTCTGTTAACTTTTTTTTTTATGTAAAAAATATTTCTTGTGCTAAAAAGATAAGATATAAGAAAATCAAGAGATTGGAAAGATAAGATACAATGAATACAATGAGAATAAATAAAAATAAAATAAACTATGATCTTTTTAGATGTAATATATTATAAAAATGGAATAAATTCTCATTGTTTCATTCATTTGATGAATGCTAATATTTTTATCTTTTTATCACACTAAACCGTCACCGCCTTTAATTTTAGTTAATCTATTAGGAATAAATCTTCCCCACATTCTCAAAACAATTCTTTTAAAATAGTTTTGACGCCTAAAAATGGTTCCTACAACCAACAATATTATAGAATATAACGGAAGAGTTATACTAAGATATGCAAGCCTATATGACCATGGACCATCTATGAAACCACCTATAATAATTTGAATTTTAATTTTGGTTTCCGAAAACGTTACACGTTACACGTCATAAGTTTACGATATTTACCTTCAATCCCAAATACATGAGTGACGATGGGTCTAACGATTCTAACGGTTGTTGATCCAGTGATAGCAAACACCGTGAGAATAATAGTAAATTCTTTCCACCATGTCCAACTCCACCTTTTTATTTCTTCTTGCTCACAGCCATTCCTAGTAACATACTGTCTTGCATTCAATGAATTACTACTACCATTATTACTCTGATAATGTAATAATGATTCATTAACTTCCGGTCGCTGTTGCGTTAAAATTGTATCATTCATTTTATATTTTGAGCGAAATGGTATTGATAAGGGTGAAATATTTTTGCGCGCTGCTTGATGAAAATTATTATTTTGAAATCCCTTATTTGAAAAGTTAGAGATTACTTTATTAGAATATATTGTTTTTGAATGAAATTTGGTGCTGTTACGAAGAAGAGTACGAGAAAGAAGTGTCGAAGTTCTAATAAACATTTTTAAGTTTATTAGAAAATTCCAACCCCAATTCCATTATAAACATTATAAATGTTTGGATAATCTTGAAATTCCAGATTATCAACATTATTTTCGGCCCAACTTTTTTTTTTTAATAAAAAAGTTAATTCCTTTGAAAATGGCATTACTTGAAAGTTCTTGTCCCAACTTGGAACTTGTTACTCGTGGAAAAGTTCGAGATTTGTATCGTGTAGACGAAAACACTTTATTATTTGTAGCAACAGACAGAATAAGCGCGTTTGATGTTATCATGAAAAATGTATATTATTTTATCATTTATATATTTATTTTTATTGCGTAAGCTGAAGGAAATTTTTTTTTATCTTTTTTTTTAAAACAAGGGCATCCCAGGGAAAGGAAAATTATTAACACAATTAAGCGTTTTTTGGTTTAATTATTTAAAGGATATGTTACCAAATCATGTTATTACTACTGAAATTGATCAAATGCCAGAAAAAGTACAAAAATATCGGGTTCAGCTCGAACATCGATGTTTGCTTGTTAGAAATTTAAAAGTTTTTCCCGTGGAAGCTATCGTTCGTGGATACATCACCGGTAGCTCATATCGAACACTTTCCAAAGATGTCATTTATTATTTACAATTGAAGATTAACGGTAGGAGTGTTTATCCTAGGTTCCGCATGGGCTGAATATAAAAAGAACGGAACAGTTTGTGATATTACTTTGCCTGAAGGATTAAAGGAGAGCCAACAATTTGAGTTGCCTTTATATACTCCTAGCACTAAAGCTGAAATTGGACAACACGGTAAATCTTTTTTTTTTTCCATGTAAAAAAATTTGATTTTACTTTTTTAAAGAAATAATTTTTTTTTTTTTAGATGAGAATATTCATCCTAACAAAGGTAAAAATGCTTTGTAAGTTTATAATGACTTTTTGATGAATCGTAGATCTAACTTTAGTTTAAGTCCCCGAAATTATTGGAGTAAAGTATGCACAACAAATTTCAGAATTTTCAGTGAAATTATATACAAAGGTCAGTTTTTACCTAAAAAAAAAATGGAAAAAAAAAAATTACTAAATTTAAATTACCTTCAGGCAAAAGAATATGCCTTGCGTAAAGGAATAATTATAGCAGACACAAAATTTGAATTTGGTAGAGACGAAGCGGGAATTCTTTATCTTGTTGATGAAGTATTAACTCCGGGTAACGATAAAAATTCTATATGCGTGTAATTACATAATTTTAAATATGAAAATTTACCAAATTTGGTTTTTCATTACAAAAAGATTCGTCAAGATTTTGGCTTGTTTCAAATTATGAAGTTGGAAGATGCCAAGACAGGTAAACTTTTTTTTTCCTTTATTAAAAAATCTCGCATTAAAATTGTTTTTTTTAGCCTAATCTCCCTTATGTGATATTTAGTTTTGATAAACAATATTTAAGAAATTATTTATTAAGTATTGGATTTGATAAAAAAACTGGTATCGAATTACCCAGCGATATAGTTAAAAAAACGATGGAAAGGTATATTGAGGCTTATAAATTATTAACTGATTCGGATCCAACTTTTCTGTAAGATTTTTTTTGTGGTGCGGTAAATAATTGCATTTATTCTGATCAAATGATCAGAAAGGATTCTAATAAATAGAGATTCACCTTCCCCTTAATATAAAGTATTTCGTTTCTTATAAAGCTCACATGATGTGACTAAACCTTCGAAGGATATTATCAAGTTTATGATTGTGGCGTAATTTACACACAAACGGTTTTTCCCGGTCCTTTTGTAATTTGGCAAAATAAGAAAATGCTTGATTATGAAACTTGATATTTGCCTAAGCCATGAAAAATTCTTTTTTTTTTTTCTTTCTCGAAAATCGGGTTGAATTTATCAAATAAAAAAATATGTCAAAATTACCAACAAATGCAACGACATATAAACTTCATGCGCCAAATTATGTCTCGTCCTTGTCAGATAATAACAACGAAACCATCGATAAATATATGATACATTCACCGACATTTCCAGCACCCGTTAAATCATCTAAAAAATCGATTTCAAATCTTTCTTTTTCTAGTATAAACAACAATAATGGAATCAAACAAAGAAAATCAATAAAATTCCAACCAGAAGATGACAATAAATTTTCTACGAGACTCGGAAAAAATTTTATAAATTTGATTAATTCAATTCATAAAAAATTATCAAGAATAATCGAATTGATGACATATCTTAGGTTAATTTTAGCTTTAACCCTTTACTCATTAGTTTTGGTTGATGTTATACATATACACGAGAAAAAAGAAAAAAAATTTTGGATAGAAATATTTACTCAGGTAATTAATAATTTATTATTATTAAAAACGAAAAAAAAAGATAAATCAATTCAAATCTTTTAGGCAATAAATGCAGCATTTATATTCCTAACGATAGTTGGGCATCCAAAAAGGTTAAGAAATTTACCTAGAGCCATTCGGATAAGTTGGGTAGTTATGAAAGGAAAAATGTCAACTATAAATTCATATTTGTCAACATATACCGAAATACAAAAAACTCAAATTAATGTAGCAAGAGATTATAAATGGTACGTTTATGACACTTTGGATTCTTCTTTAAATTGTACTCCCATAAAATTATTGTCAATTCTTCTTATATGGAACATTGGAACTTTAGCGCAATATGGAATATCAGGTAAAATACATAAATTAACGAACCTTTTTATTTTTAAAAAAAAAAAATTACATATTAAAAAAAGGTGCACTTTTATCTAGGAATTTTGTGGTTTATTCCACAATCTAAACGACCCGAAATTCCTTATTTAATTCTGACGATAATAACATCAGTTAGTGAATTTTTACCAATACCTGCTGTCGTGATTCAATCTAAACGCGCTAGAATGGCGCATAATTATGAAATTCGCTATACTTTTAGATATTCAATACAAGACTCTTGTTAACATTTATTTGGACGCGTTATCATTTTCAAGAAACAGTCATTTTCTTGCAATTTATTTTTTAATGTATATAGCCATTGGTATTATTTATATTATCATATATAAATAAATATATATTTTAAACCGTATTGACGGATGTCGGGTAACATACAATTTTGGGAATCCTTGATCGTGTAACGTCCATTCAAAAATGTAAATATATTTTCCAAATACAAATGAAATACCAACAAATCACATTACATTTTACGTGACTTCTGTAAATTTTTGAAGTGGCTTTCTAGCACAAAGAAGTGGCTAAGCAAATGATGTGATGCGAACGAATTAAAATAACCGGTAGTTTGGTTGGCGGGCAAAATACAAAAAAAAAAATTTTTCCCCACAATAAAAAAAAATTTTCAAACAAACAATGAAGAAACGATCAAAAAAAAAAAAAAAAATTAATAATAATAAAAATAAAAGTAACAAAGCACAACCGTACATATACTTTAACAACCCGCATATTCAATATTTATTGGGGTTTTTTTTTTTTTAAAAAAAAAAAAAAAAAAAAAAAAAATACGACCTAATAAACAAGTTCCTTTGTAAATTATGCTATTGTTCTTTTACGCCAAATGAAAAAGGATTTCTTTACGTATATATATGTATTATTAATTTATAAAAAAAAAAATAAGGTACCCATTTTTTTTCTCGAAAAAGAATTCGAAAAAAAGATGCAGGAAGAAAAAATGTATTGCAATGCAACATAATTTTGACAGCAAAAAAAGATACAAGGCCTAGAACGGATATTCTCGTATACTTTACTAAAAGAAATGAGATAGGTAAGTTATCAAAGATACCGTAACTTGCGTAGACAGGATAGGATGTATGTGATCCACGTTGTCAAGTTTTATTGGAATCAATCAATTCAATAATATAAGCGAACCACATCGAGAGAGAAATAATATGATTAGTAATGAAATAATCAATTATTCAAATGTTATTGCATGAAAATCTCATAATTTGACAAAGAAAAAAATGGAATGATCCCTACCTTTTAAAGAACTTAACAATAGTGTATTGATTGTGAATGGACAAATTGACAAATTGGAAATGCAATTATATCTGCTTTTCATATCAATCATAAACAGGAAGAACAATTCGAGAATTCTTTACTAATCATTGTTTAACGATAAATAACATTTATTAGTTTTTGCCAATCATTGGTTGGTTGCAAAATTAAAATTTTAACAAATAGATTCGATACGAATTTCATTTATTTAAAAAATTAATTTGAACATTTAAAATATCTTAATATTTAATAAATAAAATTATATAATAACAAATATAATAATTTATAAAAGAAAATTAATTGTATATTTATTTTATATCTAATATTTAATTATTAAAAAAAAAATTTAAATCGAATCAAGTTATCTTTAACCTTATAAATTTTATATATTAAAAATTACATAAAGATTAATTAATCATTATTATGCAATTAATTTAATTTCTTAATCAATTCTTTATATAATTTATTATACCTTTTATGATTACATTTATAAAATATTAAATTATTTAATAATTTTTCAAGACTTATAATAAATGATTATACAAAAATTATATAAAATTATAATATATAAAATTCAGAATATATAAATTATTTTTAGTATGATTATATATTATAGTATTTATATTATAAATTTTATCTTTTATATATCATATAAATTATTCTTTATCTAATTAAAATAATCCATTAGGTTATAATTATAAAGGATCGACAAGTTGAGAGAATATTGGGATTTAGGTTCTTATTTAACCCCCTGTATAAATAATATTCTAAAACTGACATTAGTGGAATAATGAGAGTTCGTCCAATTTAGTCTTAGTATATTGAATTGGGATTGTTATGCACGTCAAAAAAAAATACCTTGTTAACGTTTTACAAAAAAGAAACTTATTGATCTCATATACACAATAGATTTAAAAACAAAGTAATCTTATGGTAGTGTATAATAACTATTAAAGTGATTTCGAAAATTTGTTTTTTAGGTTTTTGTTGATTCTCGAAAAGGATATATTGAGCAATCTAAAAAAAAAAAAAGATTTATCGTCAAAATGGTTTTTTTATCGCGTTTTTATTATATATTGAGATTTTTAATATTCGGTTTACCTTATCAGAGAAAAAAGAATCAAAAAGATCTCTCCCCCTTTTCATGCGAGACAAAAAAAATGAATTTTCCAAATTTAAAAATATGATATAATTATTTCCTAACAAAATAATCATTTCATCATAGATTTCTATAAATGGATCGGTGCGTTTATCTATCTGCGCATATGTATTTAGAGATTTTCATTTTTAAAAGATTGGGTCGATTATTGACAAATAATCTACCACATAATCCTATTGATGTATGATAAAGTAAACACTAATTCCTGGGTAAAATTCAAATATAAAATGGACGATAATATATTTGAGTATACCAGCTTACAGGAAGTCCTGAACCTAAATGCGTAAATTGAATCTTCAGTTAAAATAAAGGACATTATTTTTAACGAGTGGCTTTATTTACAATTATCTAAATCTCCTTTTCTCCGCATTATTTAATGTGATAAAAACGAAATTACCATTAAATTGTAATGAAATGATATCCAATCTAATAACCAATATAATCGGTAACTCAAAATTTTATACTAAAACCTGCATGTCATTATATTAATTATATAATAAAATGTACACAGTATCTAAAGTTATGTAATCCATAATTATTTATTTATTAAGAACATTTACTGACTTATATTTTATTTATTTTATTATTAATTTTATTATTTCTTTTTTTTTTTATTAAAAAAAGTAAATATAAAATATATAAAATGAGGTTGATATTTGAATTCCCTGAAGTGATATGATGATGGCCCATCATCACCTTGTTAAAAAGTTCGAGAAATGGAAAATTTGTATATTTGTCACGAATCTTATCAGAAAATGAGCAAGGAAAAAACATACCAAATAATTATTTCTAAGAGACCAAAAATTACGTTTAAAGATTATACAAAAAAATTTTTTCAATTTCTTCCTTGAAGACATAAAAACTTCTTGACGATTAGTTCTCTAACTAAACGAAGAACGTCACCCAACAGAGGTTGTTTTGACAGTCAAGATGAATCTATTGCTAACCATGGAAGAAAAATTTTTATAATTTTCTATGAAAAAAATTTTTTCTTATCAGTTACTGCGCTTTTCGAAATTTCACCATTATGCTTCCTTGGCTGTCTTTTTTTATTTGTATGTACTATGAGGTAAATATGGTCCGATATCCGAAACCTAAAAATTCTAGTCACAAGACATGCATCATCACGATTGTTATTATCATTGTGGCCAAAGGTCTATTCGCTGAAATTCATAATACAATTTCAATGATTGGATCATCTGAAGAAGTCGTGTTTGTCACGATTCGAAATCTATTTAGTTGCGGAAAGGTACTCATTAATATTGGGATTAGACGATATGGAGGCAGTTAGTTATCCGAATTTTGTCGAAATGCACACTACCGTTTTTGTCGATCAATTTTCGAATATGCGATCAGCGGTCAACAACAAATATATATTCTTTCTTAGCATCAATACCTCCTAAAAATAATACTTCGTGGTTACATTGATTAATACCCGGATACTCAATAGATATTCTATTTAATAAAATAACTAGTATTTATTTATTTATTAAAGTTAAAAATTAATTAAATAACCTTCATTTTCACTATTTTCTGTGTTCCCCCACATAGCAGATAGTAAATTAATACTATATACGATTCAATGGCAAATAGTACCTTCATAAATAATATTTGGTAATTCCAATTTTAACATAAATGGTTTTATAATAATTTTACTTAAAAAAATAAAAAGCCAAATTTGGCATTTGTTTATTTATTATAAAAAATATTATATTTAGACTGATTTCCAATTATGATATTTTCTAATATCAGCTTAATATTTGTATCATAACTATTTTGACTACCCAAAGCTAATATAAAAAATCTAACCTATATTTACATATAATGAATCTTGTTATTCAAATGAACCAAGCAAGATTATGCATCTATATATTAATAGCTAGTGTAAAATATATAAATTTATTAATAAGTATTTATGTGATTAAAATTCAATATTTTAATTTAATTGTATATCAAGTGCATTCTATTCATACATAATATCCATTATCGCACAGACTTTGTGTAAAAAAAACTGATTAGTTATATTACATCTCGAATAGTATAACCAATCAGTTAGTGAATCAAATATATTTAGCAAAAAATTTCTAATCTGTTTGAATAAAATTAGCAAAAATTTTTCCAATATCTTTCTGTGCATTTTAGATGATCAATCTTATATAATCAAACTATGCTATGATTATAAACTTGGGTATACTGCTTAAACTATTATAGGTAAGATAATATTCTGTTCTATTTTTATACTATTTATTATATAATCTATAATTCCATATTTTTTATCACAAATAGAATATGACAAGCCTTATGGCTAAACAAATGTAAAATTATAATTATTAATCCCTTATAATTATTTCAGAATTTTAAGTATATAAAATGCTTTAATACAGATTTGATAATTAATTCTGAATCAGGTTTTACTTCATAAATGATAAAAATAATAAGCTTAAAATCAGAGGTTTGAAGTTTTTCAAATATATTTGTCATAGCTTTTGTCAATTGTTATGGTAAGGTTAGAAGTATAGTGTTAGTATAATGATTCGTATAATTAATACTGTTAGTATATTATAATAATTAATAAAAAAATTAGTATAAGTACAGTACAAGTACAGTATTAATTTTATCTAATATATACAAAATTTTCAGTTCTGACTATGGCTTACATCTAGTTTATAATTTTATATAAGTTAAAACAAATCTTATCTGTCAAAATGCTTGATAATCTATTTAATTAATATGATAATTCAGATATTTAAGAGTTAATATTTTATCAGATTTGATTATATTACTTTTTTATATAATTATAAGTCAGTTTAAATAGCTGTCATAAATTAGTTCTATAAAAAAATATTATATAATTAAATATAGTTTATAAAATAATGAGATTATGCAGTTATTTCAATTTTATATTATTTATATTTAATAAAATAAGATCTGGTTTTATATCTACCTTTTATGCTTTCTTCATTACCATTATTAACTTATATAATAGGCATGATATCTTATTAGTAATTCTATAATAATAAAAAATTTTGCTATTAAATTCTTTATATAAGTTAAAATATTAATACAATATTTATAATGTTTAGTTACAAAAATAAGTTCAGTCATAAGTTAAATTAGTTTTAGATAAAATATGATAGAAACATTTATCTCAGGTTTTGAAAATGTATTAGTTTGATCATCATTAGTAATTTTTAAAAACATGTAACTTTAATCATTTTCTAATAAAACAAATTTTAAGATTACTTAATCTATAACATTTTGAATTTATATATTAGTTAATTTTGAAATCTTATTTATTTTGCAAATGAAATACTTAATTTTATTAATTTTTATACTATTCTTTTCAAATAATTGTAATTTTTTTTGGCTTTAAGAGTTCAATCTGTAAGACAACTAATATAATATTTGTTAGATATTCTAACATTTTCTTATATATTTGTATTCTTACAGTTTTATTAGTAATTCCTATATCATGACAAATTTTAGCAACTTTATTTTCAAAATTATTTGAATACCAAATCCAGAACAAGATCTTCTCATGTTTAATGCATATTATATTCTATAGATGTATTAAATTTTGTGTTATAATTTGATTGCAAGACACTTAAAGGATTTTATAGTTAAATATTATTCATTAAGTAGAGCAATGATATTACAATTTTGTAAAATACATATTAAATTAAGTTTTATATTCTAATTTTTAGTAAGTTTAATTTCATCAGAATCATCAAGAGTAAGTTGTTCTAGTTTTGAAATAGTTTTTATTTAATCATTTTTTAAGAAAACAAATTTTATGCTACTTTTGATTTTATTATTTATTAGAGAAGTTTCTGTAATAGGCAATAAGTTGAAAGAAATCGTTAACTTACATTGAATTTTCTTCTCCTTATTTCTCTGCCTTATCTTATTACTAACTCTTTTCTTATCTCTTTATTGATTTTTTTTTTCAAATTTAGAAGGAATTTTACTTATACTTTAAAGTTAATTTTAAATATATTAAAAATTAGTTATTAAACTAATAATATTTATATTTATAATATTTTTGAATAAAATCAAAAAAAAAATTATATTAATTAATAATTTTTTTGCATTAACTTACGATTAAAGTTTTGAAAATTTTAATAAAAGTATTTTCTTTATAAAAATTAATTTTTTATTTATTGTTATATTATTAAAAAAACTTTACAAAATATATAAATTTATATTTAAAGCATTTATTTATATATTTAAATAAAAAAATATAAATTTAAAGTTGAAAATTTTGTATATATTTAAAACTTTAGTTATTAACATTAAAAATGAAATTCTATTTAAAAAATAATAGATTTATAAAATGTATTTTAATTATAAAATTAAAAAAATTGTAAGTTTTTATTAGAATTTTGCATAATAATTTATTGAAAAAGTGACTAAATTTGAATAAAAATCATTATCATTTAAGGGATAAAATATTATTTAAGAAAACATCTGTTTTCACATTCTCTAATGACTTCTGATAAGTATATTTTATTCAGAATTATTAAGCTAATTTACAATGGAGTTAGATATATTGATAATCTTAATATTCTAGATTAGCTATTTATTCTTTTCATTTTCGTCTCTTATTTTACTATTTTGGCTTTAAGCTCAGCAATTGCATCATTATGCCTAACATTTTTAGCTGAAAAATCTGTTTTGTTTTCTTTAACTTTTCAATTCTGACCTTGAATCTGGTATTTTCAACATCACGTTTCTTTCTCTCTTTCATAGCCTGTCTTAGAAGCTTAATAATTTTGGTCTTAAACTCAACTCAATCTCCTTAGTTTAGTATTCTTCTTTTTAAATTCAGAAATTTTAGCATTTTTCTTTTTAAGTTTAACAATTTCAACTAAAAACTTGGCATTTATTTTCTTAAAGAATCAATGAATTGCATGCTCAATAATAATTTTTATATGAGATGAAATAATTCAAAAGTTTGTTAGCATAGTTAACATATATAAAAATAAATTGTGACAAAATATCATGATCAGATTACTAATTTATTAATGTAAAAATAAATTATATTATTTAATGAGACATATACTTGTTTACAAAATGAAACAGTATTTATATACTAATGCTTACAGATCATACAATTAGTGTTTTATTATCTAAGCTATTTATATACTAAATATTTTAATATTAACTCTAATCTGATTTTATTTATCTCTAATATCAATATTCTAGATAAAATCAAATAGTCATTAATTATAAAACATGCAGTATTAGAAGTAAATGAATAATATTAATTAATTTTAATGACTTTACTAGTTAACACTCTTATAAAAATATTAACTGGTTGCATTATAATATTATCTAGTTATGAGTAAATTGTTATCTAATTATTTGTTTTCATACTCTGTGACCATTTTATTACTTTATTGATATCCACTTGTTTTTATTGCTCTATAGCCTTTTTATTACTTTATAGATATTTGCTTGATTTATTGCTTTATCCTTTTTTTATTAGCTTCTAGCTATCTACTTGTTTTCATTACTCTATGGTCTTTTTGTGATCAAAATGCTAGACTGACATTGATTACAAAAAATCATGTTGTGGTTAGGTAGCACAGTAGATTTGCAGATCAGATTTTGACCAACATTATGCTATTTTTGGCCTAATCTTTAGCAAAATATTTTGGCATCCTGTAATTTAATTTATGCAGTTTTGTGATTGTTTGAAAGAGAGCATTGAGAGTTTTTCAATGATACTAAGATCACATGAATTAGATGCCTGAGTGTTGAGTTATTATATTCTAAAGTTTAGGCAAAAATAAAATTTAGCTTTGACTTCTCGGCCAAAATTAAGTGAATTAATACTGCACTTTACTACACTAGTTACGTGACACTATTTCAGCACTGGAATACCTTCATATAGTTGCTTTGAAATTATTGCTATTTCTTGATTGTCGGATGAGACACAAAGTGTTGAATTTGCAATCTATCTATTTGCTGAAGATGTATCGCAATCTATTTACTCATTTTTTGATTGCTGGTCAGGCACATACGAAGTACAATTCTGCCTTTTATGACCCTTTTGATTGCTAAGAATAAGGTACGAAGTGCTGAATTAGTGACTCAGATGCACAATCCTGCTTTCTATAACCCTTTTGATTGTTAGGAATGAAATACAAAGTGTTGAATTAGTTCTGGCTATACAGCTTTTATACTTTTTTTCTTATATTCTCTGAGACTTTCTGCCTTCCTAGACTCTTTCCTGCCTATTATCAGTAGTATCCAATGTTATACCTTTTTTATTTTCTTTTCTTTATATTATTCTAACTTTGAATACTACTAAATTTATACCCTAGTTTTCACTTCTGTGTTTCTTGAACTCTTTCCTATATAGTTATTACTTTAGAATACTTTTGGGTATTACTACATTAATTATTTTGGGATACTATTATATCGATTACTTTCTTTCGGCTTAGCACTGGGTACTACTACTGACCCAGTATTTTGCTAGTAAGCATATTCACTCAAAATTATATAAAATTTTTATTTTGAATTTTACAAGTTTCTCTGTTATTTTTTATTGTTTTCTTGCATATATATAACATGTTACTCGTGCAAAAAAGCCTAGATCAAGCCCTAAAATAATAAATGAAGCAACTAAGCTCTTCTTTGGTTTAACAGACCTTGATTTGAGGCTGGTTATAGTGACCATGTATATTTTCAATATTTGTCTAATAATAAAAATGTTATCTCTCTTCTAGGCACCTATAATTCTGAAGATATTTTTGATAAATATATAGCCTGAATGTTAGGAAAGGGTTTTATAGTAGTTGATCATTTATCCATAATTTATGGATTATCTGATATCTATGAATGCATTAATAGGAATTTGCCTCTTCGCCTAATACTCGATATTAACGTGAAGTAAATGCCAGATCCAATGAATCCTAAACTCCTTTCCTTAGATAAATATAAATTACTTGTAAAGATTTATTATTCAGAATCTTAATTACTTGTGTTGATATTATATACTTTGACTTAAAACATTTCATATTTTAAATGCTTTTACCTTGGCTAGTTCGTTTAATATTGATAAATACAGTTGACATATTGTATACTTATATGCTCAGTTTATTGACTATAGGGATTTTAGTGGTTTTGTAAAAAAAGTTGCTGATAGAATTTGAAAACCATATTCCAAATTCATTGACCTTGGGCTTTACAAATCATGTTTTAGTCTTCAACTTTTTGGATCAGCAAAGGAAGATAGAGTTAAAAGTTCTGCAATTTCTTCAATTAAATAAGAATATCGCAAGCTAAAAGATTATTTAGTTCAACCTAAATCTAATTTTTCTGAAATCTGACCTTAAACATTTTTTCCTAAAAAGCTAGAAAGAAAGGAGTTTCAACCTATCGAAAATGAAACTGCTTTAAGTAAGGGAGCTAGTCAAGTTATTACAAAATATGGATGACTTGAAATTATCAACATTAGAAAGAGATTTGTCAATTTTCAAGCCCAGTCATTAGAAGCATACCCATTTGCAATATCCATCACAAAAAAGATTAGTTATATGGTTTACTTTGAAGTAACAGATGCTTTATACTTAGATGTTATTGGCAAAAGTAATATAAATTAGATCATAAAGGATTAGCATTCGAAAAAGTAACTAATTTTTTTGCGAGAAATAGTTGAAAGAATAAGCGATGCTATATCCAATCCACACCTTCTTATAGAATTATCAGAAATAGCAATTAATGTAGAAAAATTAAAAGATGCCTTTGAAGCATATCCTAATTTCTTAAATATTGAAAAAATAACAACACTTATTTGTTTTCCTTTGGAAACATGTAAAACTACTGCATTAAGAGAGATTATTATGGCATTGAAAGATAAAGTACATGATATTTCTTCTTTATCATGCTATATCTGGATCTCTTACCAAAAGTCTTTTAGCAATGAGTTAAAATTCAAACTTAATGAGTTAAAAGCATCTGGCTTTCAAATTTGCAATTACCAAAATATGCAAGAAGACTTATTTATAAATGAGTGGGATATTATTATAGTATAGGTTAAGAGCCTCTTTCATGTTAAATTTATAGCCTGTCCATTTGTAGCTATTCTCAATGAAGCTAATATCATTATGTGTCAAATGTCTAGCAATACAAATGCATGAGAATTTGAAAATGCAATGTGTGATGTCTTAAGATTTGTGAGACATATTTTGGTCATGGATGCCTTCACAAATATCTCAATACTACTAATCTTCCTTCAGATTTATCATAGTGAAAATATTTGTATAGTCAATAATAAGTATCAGTCTGACAGTTGAATTTATTTATGATCTGAATAGTAGAGTAAAAGCTATGCAAATAGAATATGATCTTTTGAAGCAGGGCAAATGTGTAGCATTATATTTATCAGAGCGGTGATGGTTAGAGCATTTGTAAAAAAAGCATCTAATTTGTTTAAACTTGATAATTTATCTGTTAGAGCCTGTGCATACTATGGAGATATGGATGGAAAACAGTGACAAAAATACTTTTTTGATATTAATATCACTTAGAGCAAGCTTGACTATATAGCTTATACAAATACAATAGGATTCTGCAAAGAATCTGATTTGATCTGAACTTTCAGATTCGAATTGGATTTATCAGATTCGAATCAAATTCAAATTAGATTCAAACTAAATCTGATTCGTCAGATTCGAATCGGATTTATAAAATTTGAATCGAATCTGTTGAATTTAAATTTGGGTTTGATCTGAAATCTGATTTATTTATTTATGATTGTGTTTAGGGATGCTAATGGTTATGGTCATGACCGGTCATAGCCATAACCGATATCGGTCAGTCAAAGGTTTCTGACCGACCGATTTTAACCAATTTTGATCGAACGTTTGATCAAATATTTTTTAAAGTAATCCAAGAATTCTTTGCATTTAATTAACAATCATTTTATTTATGTAATTTTTTATAAATAAAAATTTTTAATTTATTTTTAAAAAAAGTTTGTGATAATTCTGTAAATATGAAAGTAAACTTAGTAAGTCTAAAAGAAATAAGTAAAATATATAAAAATTCGTAGTATCATATTAGTATTATTTAAAGCTTAAATTAAAATTATCGATCAAGAACTTTAAATTATATTATTATTATTTGGGCCGGTCAACCGGTCAATATAACCAGTCGGTCAGTCAAAGGCCTCTGACTGACCGTTGACCGACCATGACCGACCGTTACATCCCTAATTGTGTTATGTTACATTCTATTCTTTCCATTTTTTTTTATTTTTAATAATACATTAAAAAATTTTTTAAATAACAATTTTTAATAATTTATTTTTTAAATTAAAAAAACAATTAACTGTTTTCGTCTTCACTTTATCTTACCATTTTTTGCCTTCGTCTTTCCTTATTCCTTCCTGTTTTTTTCTTTGCCTTTTTGTCTTTTCTCTTCTATTCATTTTTCTCTTCGTTGTTCTTTTCATTTTCCTCTTCATTTTTTTCTTCGTCTTCTTCTTTGTTTTTCTTTTCATTTTTCCTTTCGTTTTATCTTTATTTTCCTTTTTTATATCCTTTTTCATTTTCTTCACCTTCGTCTTCCCCTTCATCTTCTTTTCATTGCGAAGAAAAAGTATTACAGAAATAAGTGGAGAAATGTTGGATTGGCTAGCGTTTATAATAGAAGCAGGATATTTTAATTCCTTACCATCGTCTTTTTCTTTTTCTTTTAGGACGGTTGAGTTGTAATACCAAAGAAAAAAATTAAGTAAGTTTATTCAAATTTTTTTTTAAATTTAAATAAATAAAATAATATACTTACCTTTTTTTTTATCTTTCTTTTCTTCTTTTCTTTTATCTTTCCTTTTATCATTTTTTTTTTCTATTTGCTCGTCATTTTTTCCTGTTCCTTCGTCGTGTTTCATTATTTTCTTCATTGTTGTCTTGTTTTCCTTCGTTTATTTCTTCTCTTTTGCTTTTATATTTTTAGGATGGTTTTTCTTAATTCTAAGCAAAAAGGCTCTTTTTTAAATAAAAAATTAGGTAAGTCTTTTTTAATAATTTTTTTTTGTTAATTTAAAATAAAAATAATAATTTACTTACCTTATTCTTTTTCCTTTTCTTTTTTATTACTTTATCATCTCCTTCTTCTCATTTTTCATCTTTTCATCTTTTTTATCTTTCCTTTATTATCGTTTTAATTCCTTTTGTTTTTCTTTTGTCTTCTTTTTATCTTCGTTTCGTTTATTTCTTCATTTTTCAATTTTCCTTTTTTTAGGATGGTTGTTTCTTAATTAATTCTAAGCAAGAGGGTTTCTTTTATAAAAAAAAAAATTATTTGGTTAGTTTTTTTTAATAATTTTTTTTTAATTAATTTAAAAAAATTAATTTATTAACCTTTTTTTTTTTTTTCTTTCATTAATTATCCTTTAGCATTTTTTTTTTGACTTTTTTCATCATTTCTTTTTATTTTCTCCTTAATTACTTCCCTTTCGTTCATTGCCTTCCTCTTTGTCATCTTCCCTCCTTCTTGTCTTTGTTATCTAATTCTTCTCTTGTGTCTTCCCCTTCATCATTATCTTACTTCTCTTCACTTTCCTTCATTTTCCTTTTGTTTCATTTTTGTTTTTTTTCTTTTTTTAAAATGTTATTTCTTAATTCCAAGCAAGAGGATTTCTTTTATAAAAATATACATTTGGTAAGTTTTTTTAATAATTTTTAATTTAAAAAAAAAAAATTTACTAACCTTTTTTTCTTTCTTCTTTTATTGCCTTTTTCTTTTTGTCTTCTCCTTCATCACTCTTTTTCATCTTCCCTTTTATCACTTTTTCCTTACCTTTTATCACCTTGCCCTTCCCTTTTATCACTTTCCCTTCATCATCTTCTTCTTGCCTTGGTCATCTAATTCTTCCCTTTTGTCTTTCTTTTGTCTTCCTTTCATTTCATTTTTGTCCTTTTTTTTTTAGGACGGTTGTTTCTTAATTAATTCCAAGCAGGAGGTATTTTTTATAAAAAAAAATTATTTGGTAAGTTTTTTTAATATTTATTTTTTAATTAATTAATTTACTAACCTATTTTTCTTTTTCTTCTTTCATTGATTATCTTTGTTATTTTTTTATCTTCCTTCATCACTCCTTTTCATTTTCCTTTTCGTTCATTGCCTTTCCCTTCTGTTGTTTCCTTTTTGCTTTTGTTATCTAATTCTTCTCTTTATCTTGTTCTTTATTGTTGTCTTACTTGTTTTTTCTTTATTTTCCTTTCGTTTATTCTTTCGTTACTTCTTTTTTTTTTAGGACAGTTGTTTCTTAATTAATTCTAAGCAAGAGGGTTTCTTTTATAAAAAAAAATTATTTGATAAGTTTTTTTTAATATTTTTTTTAATTTAATTTTAAAAAAATAATTTACTAACCTTTTTTTCTTTCATTGATTATCTCCTTCATTACCATTTTCTTTTTTGTCTCTCTTTCATCACTCCTTTTCATCTTGCTTTTCATTACTTCCTTTTATCTTCCTTTCATCACCTTTCCCTTCATTACCTAATTCTTCCTTTCCCCTTTATTGTCTAATTTTTTCCTTTCGTTACCTTCTCTTCGTCACATACCCCTTCATTGTCTAATTCTTCCTTTTTGTCACCTTCCTTTTCATCGTTTAATTCTTTCCTTTTGCCACCTTCCCCTTCGTCATCTAATTCTTCCCTTTGTTTTCCCCTTCATTATTATCTTACTTCCCTTCGCTTTCCCTTCGTCTTCCTTTCATTTATTTCTTAGCTCCTTCATTTTATTAAATTTTAATTAAATTAAATAAATAAATAAGATTTATTTCAATTTATTTCATTTAGAAAATAAAAAGAAAAAAAAATAATTAATTTTTTTTTTATTATTAATAATCATTACTTTAAATAAGTTTTATTTATCACAATTTAATATATTTGATTTAAAATTTAATTTAATTATTTTTAATTTTTTTTAGTTTAATTATGAAACCTATTGTTATTATTGATGATAATCATAATGATGATTATTAAGGTTCAAAAACTGAGATTATTTCACCAAAATCAAATTCCCCTCAAAAATTAATTAAAGACAAGACGACAAGTCAAGCATGGTTGCATTTCACAAAAGATGTTAATTTTAAAACAAATAAAAAGGCTGTTTGTAATATTTATCATAAAGTATATAAATATTCTGACAGCGATACTTCTAATTTATCAAAACATTTGAAGAATCATTCTATACAAACAGGATAAATCAAAAACAAGGTTTAAGTATTGCAAAGATGTTTAGTAATACAAAAGTAAATTTTAAATTTTTATTTTTATTTTTTTTATTATACATTTATTTAATTTATTAATAATAAATTTATTAATTAGTGGATATATAATAATAATGAAATAATCACAAAACTTATTTATTGGATTGTAATAAATCAACATTCTTTTACTATTGTTGAAGAATTTAGTTTTATTAGTCTTATATCTTCAATTTGTCCTAATACAAAAATTCCTTCTGCTGATACAATTAAAAGAAATATAATAAATGCTTATGAAATAAATAGAGATAAAATACAAATTTTTTTTCAAAATATTTCTGGAAAAATTTCATTTACTTTAGATATTTGGACTTCTCCTTCTACAAAATCCTTTTTAG